TCCCCAAAAAACACAGCATATGAATGGCAAAATTACCATATTTATTGAATTTCTTTACTAACATACTATTAGACTTTTAAAATACAATATTTTTAGAAATATATAAATTCAATTATTTTGCATTCATGTGAAATTTCAAAACAGTACTGGAATATTGTTCTTTCTAACTRGCAGCTCATAAAATGCCATGTGTGGCAGCCTTGAATAAAAGCTTCGAATTAATGAATGACTAGAGATTATATGAATTTTTCAAGCTCTTTCTGAAAAACAATACACACACATATGCCTATATATTATATATGCTATTTATGCATGTGTGTTAGTCCATTTTCTGCTGCTATAACAAAATACCTGAAATTAGGTAATTCATAAAGAATAGAAATTTATGTGGCTCACAGTTCTGGGATGTGCTTCCCCAGTAGGCAAATACAAGTAGGCATCAGCATCTTCTCCGTATCTGGAAAKGGCCCTCTGGCTACATCATAACTTGGCAGAGGTATCCCACGGCCAGATAGAGCAAGCATGCAGGCTCTTCTTATTAAGCTGCTTATGCCATCATGAGGGCCCCATCTGTATGACCTCATCTCATTCTAATTAGCTGCCCAAATCCCCCACCTCCAAATATCATTAACATATGACTTTTAGAAACATGTTTCTATACATGAACTTTGGAAAACACTTTCAAACTGTAGGGGTGTGTGTGTGTGTGTGTAGGGGTGTGTCCAAGTGCTGTTTGTTGCCCACATTTACACATACAGGTTCTCTCACATAGACTTTGCATATGCACTCTCTCTGTGACATGCACACAACCATTTCGGTTCACTCACCCAAATTAGCACACTATTCCAAAATAAGTAGTGTGATGTGTAGCTGCACACCACACAGTAGGGTTTAAAACTGCTCAGACAGAATTTTTATCTAATTGTAGCTTCTTCTTAATTCAAAGTCAGCATTCTGCAAATAGCTAGTTCTTCTGGAAGATAATCAGATCCTATAACAGTTATTAAAGATGGCTTTCTTTCCACGGGAGAGATTAGTAACCTGTTCATAGACACACTTTAATAAATAGTATTATTTGGCATGGTAGAGTTATTTGATTCTAAAGCCTGCATTCTTTTCACAAACTCATTCCATGCTTTAATAATTCTCCCCTTTCCCTCCTTCACCTCACTATGTTGAATACACAGTAGAGACTTAATCAGTACTTGAAATGATTAAATTGAAAACTCAAAAGTCCTTGAGTTACTGTCTAAGGTCACAGCAAACTGAGATGGGTCTAGGATTAGAATTCCTTTGTTTCCCTGGTCCATTGCTCTATTCACATTTTTTTTAACCTGGGGACTTTTCACATTAACCTCCTATTTGTCCTCCAGCATGGACTCTTTGAGAAACCCTATGTGGGGTTGGGAATATTTAGGGACCTTCTTACTAAGCAATTTAATGAGTGAAACTTTCCATTGGTGGAATGCTGGAGAAGCATTTTGTGGACAAGAGGCGGGGGGAAAGATGCTATTTTAAACATTGCTGAGAGAGTTTGGGCAAAATCCATCTGGCAGACAGACTATTTCCTCCGTTCAAAAACTCATCAAGCACTCCAAACGTGTAACCTGTAGGCAAGTTTAATTAAAGCTTGAGAAATCTCAAAATAACCTGACATTTAAATATGTTATTTCCGTTCTCCTCTTTTAGTCTGACATACTCACAGAGGCATGCTCAGGTTCAAATTAAGCTCCCTAATGCCATCCAGCACTGTCTAACTACTGGAACACCCTGTGTTCAAGGCTACAGGAAAATGAATGAAATCAATTTATCTAATTGTTGTCCTTTGAATATTAATATCAGAGATATGTAGCAATAGAGATGGGAATTCAAGTAAATAAATGTGAAAAAAATGATTGTGATGGTAGATGACAGATAATAGAATGATACATAGATACATAGATAGAAGGGGTAAATTTTGATTTATCTTGTCTTTTTCTGGTTAAGGCAGAGCTTGCCTTGAAAAGAACCTTAGGAAAGGACTAAAGTAGTGGTTTTTGCCATGTAGCAAAAGAATTGAAAGGTAAAATCAGTGAGCAAAATTAGTAGGCATTAATATAGTCACGCTTTAGGATTCAAGAGTATATCTTCTGTCTTAAAGAAGTCATTTCATTCTTAAGGGGTCTGGAGATTCCTGGACTACCCTCCCCAATCCCATCCTCAGTGTCAGGTTCAGATAAGTGGCCAACTCTGATGCCCTAAGGTGGCCTTACATTAGGTTTCTCACCTCTCTTTTCTTTCCTTCCTGCTGTGGTTTTAATTGAACATTTTATGTGATTCAGTTTTCTTTCCCCTCTTAGCATACAAATTATACTTATTTCTTAAGTTAAATGGCTGCCCTAAAGTTTTCAATGTACATTTTCAGCTAATTTAAGCCTATCTTCAATAACACGAAAATACTTCACATGTAGAACTGTTACATTAGGACAGAGCATTCCCAATCCATCCCTCCATCCCTTATGACATTATCACTCATATTTACCCATATGCTAATATTACCACATACACTGCTACTCTGTTAAATAATTATCTTTTCGATATCTTAATGAGAAAAATAAAATATTTCATTTGTTTTTGTCRGCTTTTTTCACTGCTGCTACCAAAAGACCTGATGAAAACAATTTTAGAGAAGGAAATGTTTATTTGACAATCACAGTTTCAAAGGTCTCAATCCACAGACAGCTAGCTCCATTGCTCTTGAGCCCGAAGTGAGGCAGAACACCATGATTAAAGAGTGTGGTGGAGGAAAATAGCTCAGGAAATGGCACTAGGAAGCAAAGTGACTCCAGTCACCAGGTACAAAACTATATACTCCAAAGGCATGCCCCCCAATGACCCACCTCCTCCAGCCACACCCCACATTCCCAGTTAATCCCTATGAGCAGATTAATGCACTTATTGGGAAAAGGCTGTTATAACCCAGTCATTTCAYCTCTAAGCCCTCTTTCATTGTCTCACATGTTTTGAGGGGACACCTCACATCTAAATCATAATATTATTTTACCTTCATTTCCTCCTTTTCCACTGTTCTCCCTTTCTTTGCATAGAACAGAGTTCCCCATCTATATGATTTTCCTTCTCTCTGAAAACTTTACCATTTCCTGCCAGACAGATCTCCCTCGTTTTTTCTTATTCTGGGAAAAAAATCTTTGTTTCTTATTTACTTTTGAAGGATACTTTCATTGGATATAAAATTCTAAATTAGTAGTTTTTTCTTTGGACATTTTAAATATTTCACTCCACTCTCTGGCTTGCATGATTCCTGATGAGAAATCTTCTGTAATTTTTATCATTGTCTCTCTGMAGCTTAGACATTTTCCTCCCTCTGGAGTCTTTCAATATTTTCTCTTTTTGTCTTTGGTTTCCTGTGGTTTGAATATGATATGCCCGGGAATAGTTCCTTTGTTTGGAAAATTTCTGGGCCATTATTATTTCAAATATGTCTTTTGTTCTTCTTAGGGCACTTCAATTATGTGTACATTTCAGCTTTCAAAATTATCTCACAGTTCTTTATTTTCAGTTCTGTTTAATCTTCCACATTTCAGCCTGGAAAGTTTCTATAAATGTATCTTTAAGCTCCCTGTTATGGTTTAGATATGAGATGTCCCTCAAAAGCTCATTTGTGAGACAGTGCAAGGTTTAGAGGTGAAATGTTTGGGTTATAAGAGCCTTAACCCAATGAGTGAGCAGTAACTGAAGACAGGTAGGGTGTGACTGGTGAAGGTAGGTCACTGGGGGCATGCCTTTGAGACATGTATTTTGTCCCTAGTGAAGTAAGTCAGTCTCTCTCTCTCTCTCTCTCTCTCTCTCTCTCTCTCTCTCTCTCTCTCTCTCTCTCTCCCTCTTGGTGGCCATGTCCTGACCTGCTCTCCTCTGCCCCATTATTCCACCATGATGTTCTGCCTCACCTTGGGCCCCCAGGAATAGAGCAAGCTGTCAATGGACTGAAACCTTTGAAATCATGAGTCCCCAAATAAACTTTTCCTCCTCTAATTGTTTTTGTCAGTTTTTTTGATTACAGTCATGAAAAAGCTGACTAAAACTCTCACTGATTCTTTCTTGGACCAGTCTACTGCTATGTCTGTCAGAAGCATTCTTCATTTCTGCTACAGTTATTTTTAAATCTATCATTTCCTTTGGATTCTGTCATTTCATTTCCACCTGTCTGCTTGCACTTCTCACCTGTTCTTGCATGTCATCTACTTTTCCCATTAGATTTTTTAACATATTAACCATAGTTTTTGTTGTTGTTATTTTCACTGCCTAGGAGTTCTGGCAGCTGTGCAATCTCAACCTGTTTCTAATGCTAGCTTTGTCTCGTCAGACTGCATTTTTTTCTTGCCCTCTAACATTCCCTGTAATCATTGTTGAAAGCAGAAATGATGTGCCAGATCATAGAAATGAAGGTAGAATTTGCCTTTTGTGTGAACTTTTATGCTAATCTGACCAGGAGTTGGGCTATGTTAATGTTTGCTATAGCATAGATGTCAGAAGATTCAAATTCCTCTTATGTCCCTGATTTTGTCTTCTTAAGAAAGCAAAAGGAATACCTGGCTTTCTTAAGTATTCCTCATSAGAGGGAGTTTACACCTTGCGGCTGCTTCAGCTATAACTCACCATTATTATATAGGTGTCCAGCTGTTGAGGGGAAGGCCATGTGTAAGGGAGAGAAAAGACAACCTAAAGTCTTATAAGCATCAGTCTTTAGGGGTATGTGTCCTTGTGCTGTGATCTTCCAGGTGTTTCTTAGCTTTCCATCTCCTTTAGATAAAACAGGAGGGTTTGAGGGATTGCATTAGGGAAAATATTTTCACTTGGGTGGAATAAGTATTTTCACCTGAATATGAGGCCAATGTTATGGACAACAAATGTACTGAATAATAATTGTTATATATTTTTCAAAAGATCTCCATGAAGTAAGAGTGAAACTGGTGGCCAAGACTCATTTTTCTCTCTTACAGCCTTCTGGCATCAGGAGGAGGAAACCGTCGAACTGCCAATGTGGTGGCCCATGGGTTTGCCAATCTTCTAACTCTGGACAAAAAGACCCTCCAAGAAATTCTAGTACATTATCCAGATTCTGAAAAGCTCCTCATGAAGAAAGCTAGGTACAACCTTTAAAAACCCAATAGAGGAACCAGGCATGGTGATGTGCACCTATAATCCCAGTGGCTCAGGAGGCTGARGCAAGAGGATGACAAGTTCAAGGCCAGCCTTAGCAATTTAGCAAGGCCTTAAGGAAGATCCTGTGTCAAAATAAAACAGGCTAGGGATGTGGCTTAGTGGTTAAATGTCCCTGGGTTCAATCCCTGCCTCCCCCGCCCCCCCCAAAAAAAGAACAAAGACAATAGAGGTAGGGACCCATAATCCCACAAACTCAGAAGGCTGATTCAGGACAATCACAAGTTCAAGGTCAGTGTCAGAAATTTAGGGAGAACCCCCCCCCCCGCCAGCAACTTAGTGAGACTCTTTCTCAAAATAAAAAATAAAAAGAGATTAAAATGTATCTCAGTGGTAAATCACCCTGGGTTCAAACCTCAGTATGAAAAACAAAAAAATAAAAAGCCCAATAGAGTTTGACACAGTTGGTTTTACTGTATAAAATCTAAGCWGAGGATAAATTTGGCATGATTGCCATCAACTCTCTTCATGAGATATGCTTAAGTACAGCTGTTAATGCTGGAACCCGTTGAAAGCTGACAGGTAGGAGAAATTACATATTTTCTGGTAGATTTTGTCAGAAAACTCTCACAGAGCTACCTAAAAACTGTTTTCCTCTCCCGACTACAGAGTGCTTCTAAAGCAGAAGGGTGGTAACAAAGAAGCAACCCCTCCAAGAAAAGGCCTTGCCCTTCTCTTTCAACCAAAAGAAAAGACACCGAAAATGTTTAGAGCTCTCCTGGGAGGGACAGGAGATATTGGAAGACTGCTCAAACTGAAGAGAGAACAAGAAGCTCAGGTAACAAGGCAGAACCAATTGAGGGAAGTAATGGACAGAGCTCCTACTCTAATTCCACTTCAGCTGGTAGGATAATTTGGGAGAATCTAATACTAATGATTACTCCTTTATATATAGCATTTATTATTATTTGAACTGTGTCCCTACATACTATCACATGTAGTACTCCTCGGTTCATTGTATTTAAATACAGTTGGTCCTCATCRTTTATGGATTCTATTTGTGAATCTGCCTTCTCATTATAATTTATTTCTGGCCCCAAATCAATACTCATGAGGCTTTTGTGGTCATTTGCAGACAAGTGCACATGCAGAGTGGCAATAAACTCAAGTTGCCTGCTACATACACTTCCCTCCAAGGTCAAACAAGGAGACACTCTACCTTCTTGTTTCAGCCCTTAAAACACTATAAATTAGTAACATTTATGCAATCTATTTGGCRCCATATTTCTTTGAATTGTGTACTACTTGTGGGTGGGGCGGGAARAGTGAGAAAAAGAGAGATATTTTGCTTTTTAAAATGGTTCCCAAGTGTTGTGCTGGCATCTAAAGCTCCTAAATGCAAAAATGCCTTACAGAGAAAATATATGTGTTAAGTAAGTTTCATTTAGTCACTAGTGTTTTTTTGTTCATGAGTTCAATGTAATGAATCAATAATTCATCAAATTAATACATTAGATAARGTATCTCTAAGCCAAGCATGGTGGTACATGACTGTAATCCCAGCAAYTTAGGAGGCTGAGGCAGGAGGATGGCAAGTTCAAAGCCAGCCTGGGAAACTTGGGGAGCCACTGTCTCAATAAAAAGGCTGGAGTTGTAGTTCAGTGGTAGAGCATCTCTGGGTACAATCCTCAGAATGAATGAATAAATAAATAAATAAATAAGCCCTAAACAGAAACATATATGAAGCGGTCATGTACTGATCAGTTGACAAAAATGGTGTGGCCCTAGGCATATAGGAACCTCACCCTAGGAGCGATGTTCAGCATTAGTTCACATGTTCATGGCGACTTTATAAAACAAAACTTTGATGAGCAATGAGAATCAACAGTACACATACACACACACACACACACATATATAGGTATATAAGCATATATATATATAAATATACAAGCCATTATATATATAAATATATATAATATAAATATAAATATACAAGCCATTTTACCAACCTGCCAATAAAATTTTTAATAAACAATCAGTATATATTAAAAATATTTCAAGTCAAAAATTACAGATTTAATCCAAGTCCTTCATGTTAAAGAAAAAAACAAGACCCTGTTAGACCAGGACACAAGAAAAGACCACTGACTCCAATTAAAATCAAATTAAAACAAGCTTATTATTCYGACCAGCTGGGCTGCCTCTCCCACCCAAAACCACAGGAATAAGACAGCACCCACAGCTTTCCTGCAGCCCAGTTTATAGCCCAGAAAGTTACACAAAGGGGGGTTACAGATAACAGAACTCTGACGAGCATAACACAAATGGTAGTTTACATTTTTGCTGGCCCCGACATCAGAATTTATGAAGGTCATTAGAGCCTCAGAGAGGGTCRTTATCTGGCCAGGGAAGGCCAAGATTTGTGAGGCGTCACTAAAGTTTCAGAGAGGGCTGCTATCTGGTCAGAGAGCCAGGCATGGGTGARTTCAAGGCACGGGCAGGCATTCCAAGCAGGTTCAGAATTTGCAGTAATTTATAGTAAAGCCGAAATTATCTTTTCATGGCTTTGTGACGAGGTGGCTCCCAATTTTAAGAAAAGATCAGGTTGGGTCTATCAACCCAGATTAAGAAATTTGGATAAGATCACAATTARTTATAGGGTGAAAATCTACTACTCTACTACTCAGTGTTCGGACTTTACCACTTCTGCTTCTAATTTCCAGAAATGTAAAGTCATTCAAATGTTGTTTTTCTCTCCTTTTTTAAATTTTTGTTTCTATATTTATTTGATTCTCATAATAAATCTATGAAAGCAGATATTGAGAAACAGAATGGGAATTCAGGTTTTCTACATCTAGTCATTTATGTTATCTCTAAAACTACTAGAAATGGGCAGCTGTGGACCTTTCAGAAATGAGTGAAACAAATATCACAAAATCAATCACAGTCAAAAAACTAAAACTTACCTCTTACTTTTCCACATACACAACACTGTGGTAAAAATAGGGGTGTTGTATAAATCAAATGCCTCATTTATATCAATACTGAAATAATAATTTTCACAAAGAACATATAAGGATAGAGAAATATATAACTAAATTTCTTAAAATTCTCAACTTTGGCCAGGTTAGGTGGCACTTGCCTKTAATCTCAGCAACCCTGGAGGCTGAGCTAGGAGGATCACAAGTTCAAGGCCAGCCCTGGTCACTTAGTGAAACCCTGTCTCAAAATAAATGGTACAGTACCCCTGGTTCAATCCTGAGAACCAAGTTGGGGGGGGGGGCACCTCAAAGATTCTCAACTTCACCTGTGCACATTTACATCTTGAGAAGGCCTCTTTTAAGTTTATCACAAGCATCACCAGTAAGGAACTTAGTAGAATTTTTACCATGAAATTTCTATAGATAACACTAAATATAAAAGGTTCAAAAATGTTAACTTAAGCACTCATGAGACAAATGGAGAAAATTGTGCTAGGAAGAAATATGAGTTTCTCCAAGAGGGTCTCCCTTGAGCTTCTGCAGAAGGAAAAAATACACGTTCTATAGTATTTTTACATAACATTTGGTTAATACTATGTTTTATTAAAATATAAATATTTAAAATTTCATCTTCATAAAATAAATGAAATAAGTAAAAACTCAAAAACCAAAAGCAAAGAGTCCTGAGCATTGAGTCTAATAAATCTAAGTGTATGAGGACCAATTGGAAGAGAATTCTTTGGCAGGGACAGAAAATGAAATCTAGACTAACCCTGTAAACCAAATGCAACAAACCATTCTACAGCAGAACGTTTAGTGAGTGATAGAAGCAAGTCAGACATGATTTCCATATTCAGTCAATTCTGATAGCCTTTGTCTTGGCAGAAACCACTGTATGCTAATCAAGATTCCAATGTCCTTGCTTATGATTTCAATACCAATTCTTTGTAACTGCTTCTTCCAGGAAAAATGTGAATCCCCCAAAGAAGAAGAGGATAAAGGAAAAGAAAATGAAGATAAAGGAAAAGAAAATGAAGATAAAGGAAGGGAGCCAGCTGAAAAAACACCGGACAAATCCAAATGTAAAGAAAGTTCTATTGCAGCAGAGGAAATGCCCCCCTCAGTTGAAAGGGCAGTTTTACCCAGAGGAACTTCTAATCAATCACTCATCATCAGCATGGCTCCTTCTGCCGAGGCCGGGGAGGAGGTCCTGACTATTGAAGTCAAAGAAAAGGCTGAGCAATAGATGTTTGATTATCTTTAGATGTAATCTAGCTAGTTCCCAGGATTTTAGCTTAAATTAATGACCTTGCTATGCCCCTTGAGAAAACCACAGGCAAATCCCTAGCTTAGTTTTTAAGACTTATCAGAGAGTGTGATTTTATGTAGTGGCATTAAGATTTTTTTTTAAATTTCTATTCTCCAATGTTGTTAGTTTTGTGCAATTGCCATTTCTTCTAAGCATATGTAGTATGCTCCCTTCACCCCTTATGTTTTATTCTGGTAATGTTTCTTCTTCCTTCCATTTTGATTAGCTTGGTCATGGCTCTGAGGTGATTCGTTATCCTTTGTCTCGTACATTTCTTGTGTGTAATTTCTGGTAGAGCACTTCTATTCTTGGCTAACTATTCTATGTATAGAAGGGTAWAGGATCTTAATAAACTAGGTTAAAAGTCAGATGATTTCCACTCAAACAAGGATGAGGAGTCACTAAAATATCAAATCAACCCCAGAAAGAAAGCGGAGACCATAGAGCCTTCTGAATGAGACACCGGGTTTTCAGACCAGTCCACTGAAGATCAGTGATTGTCAGGAGGACTAACAAACTGACTGGCAAAATCACATTGTAGAAACATGTTAGAAAAAATTATTCCCTTTTCCAAATACACAAACTTTAATAGTTTCCCTTATACCAACTTCATTCATCATCTCCCTAACTCTTCTGGGCCAACAGTCAGACTGGAGAAACCAGACTGTCCCCATCTTCATATAGGCTAAAGTGACATTTCCCAGAATCTCCCTTAAGCACTGGCTTCATTCAAAAGGCAATAGATTAGAGYTTCTCATCGTTTTAAGCTTTAGTAAAAAAAAAGTGATGAGGTTGGGGAGGCAGACTGTACACATGTCAAATTGACATATTCCCATAATTTKCGGAACCTACATGTACAGCTGTTTACAAAATCTCCAAGTTAATTAAGTGCACTTTAGGAAGTTGTCCTCATGAATCAGCTAGCATTAGCATAATTACCAAAGTTGCATGCTGTGAGGAGACTAAGAAAGCCAGGCTGATGTCGGAAGTAATAATACATATAGAATTCCATTCCAATAAATGCCATTATTGTATAACATCAAGGTCTGTATAATAAGGCTATTTCCAAGTCCCAGAAGATGGTAATTATTGAAGCACTGTATTGAGAGGATTTTAGCAAATTATATTATCTCAAAATCCTGCAACATAGATGCATTGAACAAACACGGTACAAATCAATTATTGTAGCAAAATATATCATTTGGTAGACTTGCCATGGTTTAACCTAGTATTTGAGTATCTCAAAACATAACAAGTTTTACAAAATGTCACTTGGTCTTTCTCAGGATTTAAGCAAATATGGACAAATTTTTAAGTAGCACTTACCCAATAAGTRGAAATTTGTGTATAGTACAGTGACTAGAAAGCCCAGAAAGAAAAGAGCCTAATAACAGGAATGAATAAATAAATAAATTTGAACTTGTGAGCACCTTATACTCTGTAACGTTTTCAAGTGAAAATTAAAATATGACACCAATGCATTTATGYATTCCCTGTTGATTATTTCTCCCCCAAACTATCCTAGTTCAGACATTATCATCTTAATTTCAATCCATTAGTCTAACTAACATCTAAGAATGTCAACAGCTCTTTTTACTTATGCAGGGCAATAAAATCTTCCTAGTTGTATTTTTAATCTAATTATCTTCTTTTGCATCCAGTATGTTTTCTGTTCAATCCAAAGAGACATTCACTTTTCACTTAAAGTGTGTGCTAATCTCTAGTCTAGCTTCTCAGTTCTTTTGCCATAGAAAAATCAGAACTTTCTAAAAACATTTTTTGACCACTTTACCTCCCTACTCAGAGACYGTATTAGCTTCTTCAGGCCTTTGGATTGACAAGGGGACTTACACCATTGGTTCTTCTGGTTCTTAAGCCTTTGGATTCAGACTAGAACTACATAACTGGGTTTCATGGGGCTCCATCTTGTAGCTGGAATATTGTGGAGTCAATTTCTTATAATGAAAAGACTTATTATACATTTTCATAATATTGTATAAAGAGATATTTATGATRTATATATATTATATATAAAAAGAGTTATGATTAAGATATATGTATTATATATAAAAAGAGTTATAATTGCCTCACATAATTATGAATGATGAGGAGTCCCATGATCTTCTGTTTATAAGTCAAAGACACAGAAGAGCTAGTCATATAGCTCCAGTCTACAACCCGAGGCCTGAGGACCAGGAGACAAGGTGGTGTAAGTTCCAGTCAAAGCCAAGGGAAGACTAATGTTCCAGCTCAAGCAGTCAGGCAGAGAGAGAGAATTCTCCCTTCCTCCACCTTTTTATTCTACTCAGATCTTCAACAGATTAGAAGGTGTCCACCCAGTGGGGAGATCTGCTTTATTCAGTACATCAATTTACATGCTGACCTCACCCAGAAATACCCTTGCAGCCACACCCAGAAATAATGTCTTAACCTCCCAACTTGGAATCCTCTTGTACCTTTCAAATTGACACATAAATTAACTACCTCAGGGACCTACTAGTCCTCCTACCAATTAAATCTTATTTATGTGAATATAATTAACACTACCCCAAAGATGCCTTCCACTCATCTTGCTTTTATGGGGGGTGGGTGTGTACTGGGAATTGAACTCAGGCACTCAACCAATGAGGTACATCCCCAGCCCTTTTTTTGTATTTTATTCAGAGACAGGGTCTCACTGAGTTGCTTAGTGTCTCGCTGTTGCTAAACTGGCTTTGAACCCCTGATYCTCCTATCTCAGCCTTCCAAGCCACTGGRATTACAGGCATGCAYCACTGCTCCCAGCAGGTCTTGCTTTTTCTTGAACTACCATCTGCCCTTCTTCCTCTGGCCTTTGTCCATTCTGTTTGGCAGTCTGGGAAGCAGTTTCTCCTCTATCACTTACCTTTCCTGTGATGCCAAATCCAAACACATTCTCTCTTTCCCAACTGACTCCAAAAGCAATCTATGATAGTTCTATTTCAAGAGACCTCTTTCACACTTTCAAGAAATATCACAGATGAAACTTAATTGTTGTATAATTTCTGTTTAATTGTAAATTATTTCTGCTCAATGATAAATGATAGCAGGATAAAACTAATGCTTAGGTTTAGCTGTATAAAGGCTAAAAACCTGTTTTTTTAAAGGCAGAGAGAATCTGAATAGGCAATTCATGGAAGCAAAAGAAACAGGTAATTGACAGAGAAAAGATGCTTGACTTTTGCTCAAAGAAACACAAATCAGAACAAAATTAGAATATCACTTTATACCTGTCAACTTGGAGAACACAAGAAGGCAGAAAATGATATCAAGTTTTTGAAAGTATGTAAATTGGACCTACAACTCTAGCAATACTTAGCAAAATCCTGACAGTGTACTTTACAATACAGCAACATCATTACAGAGTATGTATCCCAGAAAATTCTCCAGCAGGTCCATAAGAGGAAACGTATGAGAATGGACAGCATTGTTTGTGATACAAAGAAACTGGAGTCAATTCTGGTTATCTACCTCTCAGAGAATAAAATACAGTGCGTGGGAGTGTGGGTGTATTTACAAGATGGAGTTTGATTCAAAAGTTAGAAGCAATGAATTTGATATACATAAAGCAACACATTTAGATCTTTTCTAAATACCAGTGTGGATGTTTAAAAAGAAACTGAATAAGACCTTCCATAATACTGTGCGTGTGCACTTAAAGATCAAATATGAACCATCAGGATCAAAACCGCAGTCTAATAAAGCCAAGTTCATTAACTAGCTGCAACAAGGAAGAACATTCACTAGGAGGAAAACACAGCTGTGCCACCAAACACAGGGAAGGGCAAGTGGCTATAGGACATTGGGGAAAGGTGGAGGTTAGACAGTTTAAACAGAGTAATGCTTGACAGGCTTGAATCAAGCAAGCCTGTGTATRAAAGGGTTAACATCAGGCCCAGGCCAAGAGGCAGATTAAGGGGTCCTGTTTCCTTGGAAACTACTACATTAAGATAAACAGAATGCTGTGTCCCAAAACCTCTTATCTGAAGTTGTGCACCTGGCTGCTTTTCTGTGTCAAAATGACTCAGACCCTTCAGGCAAACGTGGGATGTTTCAGTTTTGCTGATAAGATTTCAAACAGGAAAGTTTCTGACAATCTATGATTTTAGGAAACAAAGTTCCTCAGCACTATGTCCTTTTGTTGACTAAAAATCACTTTTTACAGGTTCCAAATTTAAAACATACACAAAACACTGTATGTCTTTCCCAAGTATATACTTGCCAAGCAGTAATAGAATGATTGACCAGTGTGCGGGAGGCCCTAGATTCTATACTCAGCACTCAAAAAAAAAAAAAAAAAGCACATGTCTAAGGAATTATGTTATAAGCATCAGAAATAGTGACTAGTGACTATGGGGAAGAGGGAAATGGAAGTTGTAATAGATGACATAAGAAAAAAACAAAATATATCACAAACTAAGAAGTATGATCAACTCAATTCTGTGCCCTTAAGTTGTATCTAATAACAAGCTAGTAGAGAAGTGAGGATTCTATCAACACCAGAATCCTTCCTTTAGCTTTGATGMCCCCTCAGCCACACTGTAAGCCCCTGTAAACACAGTGCTACTCCATCTACAACTGGGGCCTGACCTGCCAATGAAATTTTCCTTTTACATATGGATTAGTTACATGAACATTGCAAAGATTCCTGACAACACTAAGTGTTATGTACTGAATTGTATTATTTCAGAATTCATATATTGAAATCTTACCTCCCAACATAACTGTATTTGGAGAAAGAGCATTTGAGGAGGTAACCTAGTTTAAATGAGGTCAAAAGGGTGGGGTCCTAATCCCATAGTACCGGTGTCCTTATAAAGAGCAAGAAATACACAAGGAATAAGTCTGCACAAGAGGAAAAGCCATGTGAAGACACAGTAAAAAGACTGTTGTCTATAAGCCAAGAAGACGCCACAGGA